ACTAATGACACTGTTAAGAAGCGTCATTCTCTAGCTAGGACTCTGTTTTATAACATAAAGTCCAAGCCCGAGGTCTTTCAAACCTTATTTTTAAAGGGATTAATGAAAGACAATCATGAAGCGTATACACGTATAATGCGACTATTTAATAAGTCAGGTGTATCTAACGCACATGAGCGCACTTATGACGCTCATGCAAAAGCAGGATAGGAGTCTGGAAACACTACAGACTTTGAGACCACGCAAGTGGATTCTCTACACCCTACCTTGCAAGTAAGCCCGAGATCTTTCAAACCTTAATTTTGAAGGGATTAATAAAAGACAATCCTGAAGCGTATACACATATAATGCGACTATTTAATAAGTCAGGTGTATCTAACGCACATGAGCGCACTTATGACGCTCATACAAAAGCAGGACAGGAGTCTGGAAACACTACAGACTTAGAGACCACGCAAGTGTATTCTCAACATCCTACATTTATTCTGGAGGAGCAGAATGATGAAAACATTCTTGCTTGGCTGACGCAAAATCATAAGCTGAAGCACCAGAACGTAGTAGACGCACTTAAAGATGCTAAACGACATGGGATCGCGCACCCTAAGCTGGCAACTTTAGTTGACAGAGTATATCAGTCATGTACAGAATGTGATCTCAATCAGATCAAGCGCTATGGGTTCGCACCGCTTAAGAGTGTGACTGAAGATATTCCATGGCGCAGGGTCATTATTGATCTGGTTGACCTGCCCACGTCCGAGCACACAGGCGACTGTTATGTATACCACTTCTTTGATGTGGCGTCGCGGTTTAACTTGCTCTATCCATTAAAGGATAAGAATACGCAGACCGTGGCAGAATTATGTTGCCAAATCTTTGCTGACCACGGGTGACCGGGTATTACGTGCACTGATAACGGTAGGGATAGTATTTTTTTTTCAAAGGAGGTAAGTTACAATGTTTGTACATATGGTATGACTCTCATAGCCGTTGTAGTGGTTCGGGGAAGATCGATGGGAAGAAGTGGACAGTAAATTCCCTGTTGAAGCTTGAACCAAGTGAGTCGACAATGGAGGATATGCGCTGGGTCAATTCAGGCTGGTGCTGACAAAAAAAAAACTGACATCATCGAGTGTGCCACGTATTCGCTTTCTGACCTACTAAATAGCGTACCCACCTCTGTGGTTCGGATCAAGTCTTTATCGTGTAGTGTTGTGGAATGGGTTAGTGCAGAGTACGAAATGCCAAGTAGGACCAGGTTATCCGTCATAATTCTGTTGAGGAGCGAGGTTGGGGGTGAACCGATGCCGCACCAGACCACGGATGCACTCGGTATGTGCTGGTTTGCCTGTATTGGAAGTATCATAGGCGGAACCAACAGGCGCGATGAATTGGGTTGTACCGAAATTTGGAAGTAGTACTTCAACAGCGTGATTAGCCGGGGTATAGGAAACATCTGTTGATATGTCAGAGACGGGTGTGTGTGTACAGGGGTTGTTCTACATGCTGGAGAAAAGATCCGAGGTGTTCGTGGAGGGTCCAGATACCATGGAAGTCGTGGCGCTCCTGTAATTGCTGGAGGAGATCAGGGCCAATGAGAGGCAGTTTTGGGTCTACCAGGATGCATTGGATCAGTTGCTGGATGCAGGCAAAGTGGCTGGTGGTGAATTTTTGGCCACCGGGGCAGACAGGGCAGAGACCGCCGTCAGTGTGGTAGTCGAGCAATGTGAACATGTACGTATTTGTTACAATCATAGCACAGAGCCGGATTGGTGTAGGCTCGAAGCAGCGGTTGAAACTGTCGTGTCTGGCTTTGTCCCGATCTGATGTTGGCGGTTTGCCCATGACCAATTGGTAGTAGTATTGACGCCGGGCCATTGCCGCGATCTTCTTGTTGGACCAGCGGTTCGTTGAATTCTTTCTAATGTCGTCACATCGTCGGCGGAGGGCTACATGGTCTGGTGTACGCCCGTCCGTGGTTTTGTATACAGTCTTCAAGTGGGCATAGATACTGTACGGGAAGCGCAGTGAGGGTTTGTCCTAGGCCCAGGCGGGTTGCGTCAGAGGGGTGAGTGGGTTTGTGCTGGTCATTGAGTCGAGTTGCAGTCCCAGGCAACCTCCGAGGTAGTCCGCGAATGCTCGCGTGGGGAGCAGGCCACAAAAATAGAGTAAGTTGGTTTGATGTTTGGGAAACCTAGGGTATTTGGTGCCCGTGATGATGGCTACTGCTCAAATGAGTGCTGAGTTATAGCGCTCAAACAAGGGGTCCAGCGCATCCTTCCATATAGGTGAAGCCCAGGCAATAATGTTCAGGCCATATGTAGCCGTGGATAAGATGAATGTTTTGAACAACACCAGCCTGTTGCGGGGGTGTCGCCAGCTGAAGCTATGGAAACCATAAGAGCGGAAGGAGGCGATACCCAGAGACAATGCTGTAACCAGGGATTCCATATGTCTGGCGAGATTTATTCCTGGTATTCCGTGGGAGAGTGGGAAACCCAGGTATTTGGAGAGTTTAGGCTTGACATGTGTGGGGGACCATCTTCAGGGGTAGGTGACATGTGTTCCAAGGGGCATCTGCAAGCGTCGGCGTGATAAGCTCACCATTTATACGGAGGGTTGGCGCCGCGTGTCGCAAGTTGGTAGATCGTACTCGCGGTTTGATGACACCCTGTTTGAGGCCAGATTTGCGTCCCCAAGCATCAATGTCGTCTAAAAAGGGCTGGAGCGGAACCGATTGGGGGGCTTGGATCCGTGTGTCGTCGACAAATAAATAAAAGCAGAGGAGTTTGGGCCGGAATTGTGCTAGTGTGACAGCCAAAGAATCCATGTAGATAATAAAGAGCTGGGGGCCAACGATTGAGCCTTGTAGGATGCCATTTGTTATATGAAATAGATGCGAGAGCATGCCGCAGTATGTCGCTCTGGTAGGGTCCCTCTCAAATAGCGCGCGGAGGCAGTTGATCCAGTTTTCGGGCATTCCAGCGTGGCGCAAAAGTACCCACAGACGCGGGAGAGCAACATTGTCGTATGCCTTGGTAATGTCCAGACAGACGTCGTTCCACTCCTCTTCCGACTGTGTCTCAGATTCCATGGCTGTGAGTGCTTGGGTATGGCAGGAGTATCGTGATTTGAAGCCAGCTTGGGTTGCGTGGGTAGCAGAGCCAAGATGGCTAGTAATCAGCTTGAGGAAACACTTCTCAAATATGCGTCTGACTATTTGCGTTAGCGTGATAGGGCGGAAGTCGGCGGGGGAGGTGATATCTGCATCGGCCTTTTTTGGGTGCGCTGTCAGGAGGGTGCAGTTCAGGGCGATAGGGAAGGTACCCGCCTTTAGTATCTCAGTGAATGCTTCGGCAAGGAGTCTAATCAGTGGGCTATTGGCGTCCGGGCCTAGTGTCCTGTGTTCGGTGGAACGCTCCACTGCGGCCTTCAGAAGGGGGATGTGGATATCGTCAGGGCCATGCCCCTTATTAGGATAGCGTATAGCCTCCATTACATCGTCGGGGCGTATGGCGGGAGTTACATCTGGCGAGGGTTCAGTATCCGGTGGAACAACGTACGGATTCGTGGAGTTGAATATAGGTCCTCAAAGTGGCCAGTGAGAGTGGCGCCTGTGTCGTCAGCACCCGATATGCAGGGTTGGCGTGGAGATCGTCGTTGGTACACAATATCTTGGAACATTTGGGTATTGCTTTGGGCGGTCAGACGTGGGCGGAACGAGTGGTTTGGCAGCCGTTGTACCCAAGGTCTATTTATGTCGTAGTAGAATCCCCCAAAGATTTGTGGGTTAGCGGCATAGCGCCAGATGCGGTTGAGAATCCGTAGCAAGCCTTCCGCTGGACTATGCAAGGTGAGATACGACCGTATCAGGTTCTGATGCAACCGGATTTCGGCTTGGAATAGTCTTGCGCGGGATTTGTTGCGTAAGTGATAAAGTCGATGGCGATATTGGTTATATCCATGAGAGGGAAGGCGTTGGTCCGGAGGCGGCGGCATTGTTGGCATTTGATGGAGCCGATGGATGTGTTCCGTTGGAAGTACCTAGAGATCAAGCCCAAAGGTGTGGTCACCATAGATGCTGTAGTCCGTCAGCTTATAGGTCTGGAGGGAGGCGGAAGTCGTGGGCCGGTGATACGCATGTTCTGTACCAGTGGAGCCGCCAGCATAGAGATAGTCCAAGTGCCACGTGTTATGTAGGGTGGTTTCGATTGCGTGGCCATACTTACGGGCTTTAAAGTTAAAGTCGCCCCAAACGACGTCTGGTTAGAAATTGCCAATCTTGGGAGGATTCATGTATCTCCTGACGTCTTCTTCGGTGAGTGATTTGAGTGGGAGGTAGAACACGGCCATCCGGACGCCAAAGCATACAAAGAACACCGCGTATGATGAGGAGTGAACCAGTTTGAATTGAGATGGGTGGTGTTTGGAAAAGATGCCAATATCACAGTGTGAAGGGTGTAAGATGTTGTGCCGTGTTGTGTGATGTAGAATATGATAGTGTGTGTTCGAGCGTATATGATTAGGGAATGTGGTGTTATGCCAGGTTTCAACCACACACATAACATCAACTTGACTCAAAATCAATATAACGTTCAAGCACTTATCTGTATGTGCTGCATTGTCCATGTTGAGTCCTTGTGGGTTGAAGAGCGTCATCCTCATTGGTCCTAACATTGTTCATCCTCGGTCAATACCACTGGGCCCTGGTCCTTGTTGATGTCAGCCATTTCTGTATCGTTTTCTGTCGTCGAAGAGTCTGTGGTGGAAGGTTGAGGCTGTGCGAGGAAGACCGTTGGTACGTGGGGTCGTCCGGGCTGCGCATGTTCTGGCTGTGTGTTAGCACCTGTCGGGATTCATGGGTTAGGTGACAAGCGGTTTGTAGTATGTTTTGCTTGATATACCTTCTGAAGCCGGTCCGTGGTACATTGGAGAATGTCTGCGTTGGTGGAATTAACAAGGGGGTCCAATAAAGCATCCATGCTACGGGCAAGATTTTTGGTGCTCGTTCATGTGTGCAGCGGGCCTCCCGCTTGGTGCGGATGTCGTTTCACCTGGGTGACAGCGTCATTGGGAACACAAAGGCAGACGAAACTGGAGGAGGTCCCGCGGTGATTTAGTTCAGAAACCGGTTTGGACGGGAGATACCAAAGAAAGTGGTGGCGATTGAGGAGCGGTTGGGCGTGCCAGTATTTTTCAAATACTGATTGGGATGGGGGCTTGCCGTTGGGAAAAATTGCCCGAAAGAAGAGCCATACCGGAGTGATTCATCCATTTCGTGGAGAGTTTTGTCCGCCATCGGGCGGCCCATCACTTTTGTCAGAAGGTGTGCGGGTACTGGCGGCTGCAGTAGGGGCTGAGAGGTCGGTGGGATCGGGGTTTTTTGGGGAGTCGGTTTTGTGGGGTTGCCCACTTTTGAGCGGTAGCTGGGAGGCTCACTGCTGCTAATGGGCGCCTGTGGCCTCGGTCTTTTTGCTGGCGGGGCTGGCGGGCTTGTGAAGCCAAACCGGAATGTGTAGGGTGTGCCTTCATTTAGAGGTGCACAGGTTTGGGATTTAAGGTCTCGGAGTTCGGATTCGAGGTTGTTCACTTTAGCACAGAGTTCAGTGAGTATTTGGTGCATGGTTAATTTCCATTGGTCGTCAGCCAGAGGCTCTTTGGAGATGGGCCCATTATTGTCCAGGGTTGGTAGGGTCGGTCCCGACATTTGGTTGAGATTAGCCTGTAGAGTGTTGACCTGGGCAGAGAGGTCTGTGATAGATTTTTGTAAATAGTCATTGGGGAGGAGCGCTTTAGTTGGGGATTCAGCCTGGCCCGACATTTTTCGGAGGCTGTGGGACTGTGGTCTGTGGGTCGTGGGAAATTATTATATTTTGTTTTTGAAAAAATAAAATAAAATAAAATCTAAACTCCAGGTCTCTGCGATGAAATAATGGAATCGCTAGTACTCGTATCAGACATACGCCATAAGAGAGATGTGCCATATAAGCCGCAAACGCAAGGCGCGAATAAAACGCGCCATAGAAGTCTTAAGTTCTTCTTGCGTACTGCATTAACGGATGATGCAGATGATTGACCGTACCACCTTAATTGGGTACAAACACAGATGAACAAGTGTGCTGATCCGGTTACAGGAACTACACCCACTTACTATTTTTGTGGCAGATATAGTGAGTTACAAATCCCCTTTAACAAGAACGAACCTGATCACCATGAGTTAGCATGATTAGAGAAGGTACAACGTATTTATAACGAAGTATATCCTTGCTTGGGAGAAATACGCAATATAGCTTTATTAAAAAGTCAAAAGCGTTGGAACACTACCAAGAAGATAGCAGAGTATCAGGTTGGTGACAGAGTTAACATCCGTCAACGTAATTCCGATGCTACTGTATTAATATATAAATGGATAGGTCCATAGGGTTTAGGGTTTTACTAAAAAAAATCTCTGTAACAGACACTAAAAGTGGAACGTACGAGGTAAATAACCCCGATGGTTCTAGTGCGCTTAATATAGGCACAAGTCGTATTCCGCCTACAGAGATTATACTCGCAAGAAGACATGACTCTAATGCCCCTCTTGATCGTTCTGAATTTAACGACATTATATGGAGAACGGATAAGGGAGGCTATACATACTATCGTACACGCTTTAT